CATCGAATAAGTATTCTTCTTTTTATCCCAGGAAACCATTATTACCAGAACAGAGCAGTTGATTGATCTTATAATTATAAAACTAAATGATGATTACATGCCTCTACTAAATCTGCTGGCAATTATATTCGACCCATGCTCGAGGTTAGTAGTAATATGAAAGTTGTGTTGTCGGTAAATTTTGTTTTAAAGCGGGAGGGTCGTCACCTGCGCACGCATGGGAATTGAGTCCCAAGCGACGATAATAACACACGCAAAAAACGCAAAGAACCATGGGTAGACGCTGGATTGTAAACAATGACACGCTATGGCCATCTGACGCATGCGCAGGTGACGACTACCCCGCTTTAAGCATTTGACATGTTGAGCAATAATTATGTGTTCTGTATTAAATACAACAGCTACGAATTCACAAGATATCCGCCTTGCCACTAGCGAACCATCCATGAGCAGTTTCGTAGCTACGAAAGTGAGCTTTCAGCATCTTTGGATGTCACTGAATCTCACGCGAGATTTTCTGTTCGAATATCGAATATGAACTAAATTACACAATATATATATTCGCTGTGAATCATTTTCCATTGAGATCGGTTTGAAATGCACACCAATTGAGTTGTTTCCTAAAAAGTCATTAGGCTCCTCGCTTTTAATATATAATATACAATAGCTGCACTCCATGTTACATATGGTATGTACATTTTCGTAAGATACCAAAGTGGTATGGATGTGGTGTAAAATATTATCAGTAATTTGCTTCTTTTATCTAGTCATCAAGTCGTTATCATTTTACCGAGAAGCAAATCCTTTTCATAGCATATTGATATGATTACGCAGTGCCACTCACGAGTTATTAGGTATTGATTTCTGCCATGCACGTCATAACCTTCGCGGCGGTAACGTCATAAACATGTCATATCTTAGATTGTCTAAACTAAACATACAGTCGTGCAGATTGCATTAGAAGACCATCGAGCACTGTAATGGATAGCTTTGCGAAAAACGTGCTGAGACTCTCCATCACCGTAGTTCTTTTCCCGCGTGACGTCACTCCCTGCTAAGGAGATATGGGGGAATTATCAATCGTGGTTTTCAAATCTACAATCTAATTTGGCCGCCAGCTAATAACTACATTTCCAATAATTTGCATTTATATCCAGTGTACATTTTCGTGTTCACCGCGCTTTAGCATTGTTAACAGGCGGTTTAATCGACACACTCTTTGTACCACTGTGTTGGTAACAATTGTTTTCATCCCCAAACAGAACTAACGCATGCGTAGTATAGCGTGTACACGATAGTATGACATCGCCGTCGTTTGCCTTGTAGCAGGGATACAACATAATCCTGTACTCATCTCTGTGGAAAATAAAAGCTAATATAAATCATTGAATTATTATCCCATTCTAACAATACGATATATTAACTTGTGTACGCAAATCGGATCATTCCATGATGTACAAAGGTGGAAGATATTACAGTGGCGTATTAACCACTTTGTCACATCCGTCATGTGACAGCAAAGAGCACGGACGGATATTGGTGATTATCATGTATTAACAACTCGTTTCGTGCCCGGGTATTGTAGAGAGGGATGTAACAAACTAGTTAGTTGAACGCGACACGTTTCTCTAAATTGAATATAAAATATAAAATCCCCTACATACTAATTTACCTTTTATTGCCTATAACAGGTTTTACGCGTACAATGAATCAGCGGAAGCCAAGTCATTGACAACAGCAACGGTGAGCCATCTCTATATATAGAACGACATATAACATACAATAGCATGACGTCATCATATACAGTCTTATCATATACTACATACATATGCCACGCCCATGTTCATTGGATATTATCTAATTATAGGAAAAAAATTGAAATGTACCAAATAAGCATTGAATCGCCACGGGATCGTTATGTTCCAAATAAAACCAAACAGTAATCTCACGTTCTCCTCATTTGACGTTGATATCAAATCCAATTTGGTTTAGATTTCAAACACGCTACTCTCTTTTTAAAAAAAAAAAATCATTCTACTTCTTTCCATTCCATAGCACTACATTCCATTTCATAACTCTTATGTTATCACTTCATATTTTTTTTAAATATACAGGCAACATTTTCTGATATTTCATCCACTATCATCTTTGTTCAGCACTTATGGCGATTCCCTTCCCACTTATAATGTATATAATACCTACATTGGCTCGGATCTATTATTTAAACAACCTATTTTTATATAATAAGTTTATCGATTATTACGACAATACTGGTACGCCCGTAATAGTTTATTTGTATAACCTACACACACATCTGTATATGTATCAGCTAGCGGATATATTCGCGTGCATATCGTAGTAAAAATATTTAGAAGTTATTTTTTCACCACAGAGTACGCTGTAAAATATATAATCTGCAAGGCATGCTAGGAAATTCTAAGGTTTCGGCACAATTTCCTTTCATCGAACTTCTAAATGGCCAAACACACAGCAAAATGAATATATTTGAAGGGAGAATACTTCCGTCATCTTTCTGACAATATATTACTTTGACATGCTGTTGAGAATAGGTTGTCTCTAGTGTTTTGTCCATTATTTATTAGACACGTGGTGTTTGTAAATCTAAGGTGACAATTTGGTTAAAAGTCGGCCTTAGTCCACGAAGTCGTAAAATTTTAGGTCGGTGTTATAAAATATTAAACTATACAACAATACAGATAATACAATAATCTGTGGCGTGTATATATTGAATGAATGGAAAAATCCATGAATTGTTGGCAAAGTTTTAGACCTTTAGTTTGTTTCGTCTTAAAGCGTCATGCATGTATCTTGTTGTCAAACAAACCAGAGCTCAGTTTTTCCAAGATGTTACCCAACAATCTTTGCGAAATTTTAGTTTTTGCTCTGTATTTCATGGTACATAATACAATTTAACTCAATTTTCACATGTGAATACTCATAAATATATGATTTAGGATATAAATAGGCTAAAGCTTATTTTGATTTAGAATGTACGCCGTTATGAAGGTTGAAATCGTTTGAAAGCAGTATATGTTCTGTCTGCTGTCAATCTTAAAATAATGACATCACATATTAATACAGGTTTTTATCAGGAATGCTAAGTTAACCAACGTTTGCAAGTGGAACAGCTGTTTGTATTTTGGGGTTTGCGTATATTTAGGGTAAATATAGGAAGATTTAGAACTGAGGATAACTTTAGAACATAACACCTACATTCGAATTTGATCTTATATATAAAAAAAGACAAAAATAGTTTTGTGATTTTATTTTTAATGACATTATTTGTATTCTATCACATCTTTAGTGAATATCCGTTTTATTTTATTTTGAGGTTGATCGAATAGTAAATTTTTAGACATCTGTGTGCACAATACACACTATATTTGCTCTGAATAGCGTTTTGTATTAAGTAAGGGATTTTCATTAAATGACACTAATCCGAATATGGTCATGATTTGTTACAGTGTCAGAGGTCTGCTAGCGAACCAGTTGTTTATGCTATATCGGATGAAAGTTCAAAACCTAAGGTCAGTGTTTATTACACAATGGCAAGTAACTGAAATCGCACACTCTAAACCCCATCTCGTATTGACTTTTAGAAAGTTCCTGTGCGATTGGTCCTCCTGTGACATAACGCTGCGTTGTTCATATGCAGTACAGTGACTTTGCATAGGGTCAAAACGATCATTATTATACATCTGTCACTGTAACACCATAAGTTACAGCGTGCCATAATTTGCGGTATTTTACGGGGTATTTCCATCCTACCATTTAGGAAATGCGAATTCCAAATATGGATTGATTACGCGCTTAAGCGTCCTGTAATAAAAAAAAAACATGGCTGCCACCAGAGTTTGACCGGACTCCACACAAAGAAGTTCGCTGATACTGTTCTAAACATTTTGGATTTCGGCATTCCCATGCTGTATCCCTGGAAGGAAAAAATGTATAAAAACAAGGTTATTACGAGGATGCCCTAAAGTACGCACTCATACAGTACACCGTCGCATCGAACGACGCGCATAATTCCGCTGTACTGTCTTCGTGCATACTTCGAGGTATCCTCGTAATAACCGCATATTATTACTAACACTGGAATGTGTTAATTATTAACAATGGAACATCATACATGGTCTTTCACATTGTGGTTCTTGTCACTAGCTTACATTCAAAATTTTCTGAAAAAACAAACAATCACTCCTGATTAATAATATAAATACAATTAAATCTTGTTTGTTTTCTTGATAGGGATTTCTAGTGGATATAATTAATTTATTTGGTAATCTTGGAGGATTTCAGTCAATAAAAGAACGTTTTCAGCGAGACCCACCCCCGACGATACCCGTTACCGCAGCTCTTTTAAGGTACGCCCAAGGGCTGACTTGAATGAGGGAAGTGTCACGCCTGTTGGCGTGGATTGGCCGGGTATGTCGAGAGGCACTAGTGTAACACTTAGACAAGTACGTCCAGCACCTGAACATTTTTCCTTTTTTTACTGATTAATAAATATAACGACCAATTTCGTTATTACTGTATTTGTAACCAATGTGAACTCAAACCTAAAATGAACTGAATTGTGTTCCAAATCAGGATATTTTCGTTTGGGTAAGATGGAGGTGTTCCTTGCAAATGCCTTGGCCACGTTAAAATCTGACACACGAGGCGCATGTCCTATCCTATACAGGCATGCGACCCAACACCCAGGCTTTCAACAAAGATATCGGTACATGTACGTTTCTATTGCTGGTGTTGCTGGTGTAGAATGTCAGCGGAGTATCGAACAACATTGTGATCTGCTCTAGTAGAAGTCACTGTTTTGATAGTCTAGAGTATATTTTGTCAATTCACTTCGCAAGAAGTGTAATAACGGTCTAAATATGTTTTCAAGATATCAAACAACGGAGTAAAAGAAAGAGCAAAATAATTAGACAAAACATGATATAATTAAAGCCAAACGGAAGTTATAGATACTTGCGCTTTCTTGCTTGGAACTTGGATTTGTTATTTCGCAAATGTTTACAGTAGGTACAACATGGCTGAATGTTTACTTCATGTCTAATAACTCGTATTTGTGATTTCCAACACTGTACACATTTGCTACAAAAGGTCCCTCTAGCGACGAAGCGCTGCTGTGACGTAAGTAGTTGTAAGCATTGGCGTTGAAAGCTACAACTTTGGCTGTGTGGTATTTCCTTTGTTTAGAATAAATCATAGTAAATATCTCAAAGACATTATGAAAGACTCGGACATCGACATCGACACTTTAACTTCCATTAACTTCATTCAGATCACAGAAGCGCTTCCTTGCCAAGAACTTTATGTCGTATGGTGTACGGGTGTTAACGTAATGTAGAGATTTTGTTTGTACACAATGAAGAATTCCATCAGTAATCGACCCTACTATGGTCTGAACCCAACTCATAAATTAACTACACATTTGCATGGTTTGTGTCATAGGCCGTTTGGACAGTGTTACGAGTTTCTAACAGAAGACACGGTAGTTGCGTACTTTGTTCCAGTTCTGGTAGGCACATTTCTAGATGATATTTATTTTGACATGCTATTTCAAGTGTTTTTCAAGTAATTTTGCGATGTTTTACGGGGTATTTTCTTCCTACCATATTAGGAAATTGCGAATCTATTAGGTAAAGTTTCAGATCAGAATGGCCTGGATTTGTAAACGTGCGATAATCAACATGTGCTTCTTGTTTCGAAATTCACACACATGCCTGCAAACCCGAAGATTATCATATCTTCCTGGTGTTACTCTATAATACAAGTGTTTAGACTGTTTATCAAAAAAAGGGGGGGGGTAACTATTTATTTGAAAATCAATGGAAAGGGTTATCTATTTATTTTTTTTACAAAATACTACCTTTACTAGCTACGTCCCAGACGTGGAACGCGCCGTTTCGATAATAGGCAGGGCATGCTATTTTAATTTGGACTGAAATATAGTCTACCCTACATCTTTACTGAAAATCTCTCAAATGTCTCTTTATTTTCAGGATAAAACGTGCGAAATGCTAGATGTTCTGTCAGACAGCGAGTTACAGTTATTATTATCTGAATCAGAAGATATTGTAATAGGAGAAGACAAACCTGATGCAATCAATACTATTATCGTGGTAAGTACGATGTCATCTTAAAGGGCGGTGGTCGTCGTGCTGCGCATGTGCGACATTTGTGTTGATAAACATTGATTTTCCCACAATCCAATGCGCTCCTCTAATGGAAATCACAAGTATGAGATTTGTCCTGAGCCCGACTTTCACTAATTACCGCCGTTGACTCTTTTGACGCTTCCAATCACCTAAAAAATGCATAAATAAAGCTTGGTAACGTCTCAGTTTGTACTCATTGATCTGCGCAACAGTCAAAGACGCCATCTTTGTTTATATGAGACCCGTATATCTCGTGCATGCGTGGCACGAGGACTATTGCCCTTTAATATGCTCTTAATTGTGACGTCTATAACGAAATGACGAGCCACAAGATGATGCGAAAGAGGTTTCAGCAATTAGCATATAAGCTTTTGCGTAGATTCCTTGTTGTTGCACGATGAGCATCACCCGTCAGATAGTGTCTTCTTCTTCTTCTAACCTCTATGGATTCAATATTCTACTTCTGCAGAGTCGCATGCCCGAATTTGCATTTGGACAATTTTATCTTTGTGCCTTTTGTATACGGATGAGTTTGAAACAATCATTGCAGACACAGTCGTATATGGTATAATGCGATATAACATTGTAGTCTAGAGCCAATACATATGACAATCTACTTTCTGGATCGGAGTGTTATATGTATGTGTTGAAACCAATATGCTACTATTCACAGGCCGTTGAAAGCATTGCTACACGCATCCCTGATGGGCATATCAGGTACAATGCATCAAACATGCAGTTATTCAGAATGAAGATGACCCTTAGGTGAGAGAAACACTTGCATGTATTTACTTGCAGCCATCAGTTAATGTAGTATGTAGTGTATGTATGTAATCATGAACGCATTTCAATTATTCGTATACACCTCCCTATTGCAAGTGTTATTCTTCAATACCTCCAGGCAACCAGCAACGTATGACGTAATTGTGTCTGGATTTCAGTATAGAAACAAATGTATCTTCAAATATGGATATGAACAATATCAAATAGCTATACAGATGTTCTAACAAGAGATCGAATGCAATGAAGCATATTAATTGGGTATTACATTTTATAACAACCTTCAAGATGTGATTTACTGATCTCCATGGGCATTCATTGCAGCGGTTTTGATTACCACTGAGACAATAATTTTTGCTATTGTCCCCGGGCATTTGTGATATTTCGGAAAGAAGAGTCAACACTCTAGATACATACGTAGATAAACAAATACAAGAAAGGACTTCTCGCACAGTGAAATGTACCCGCATGTTTTTGCGCCAGAAGAAGCTCATTCATAGACGTGTGAAAAGTATTTGATTGCAATTAATGTTTTTATATTTAGATTGAAGCGAGCCAGGGGCCTTCCGTATGGCAGATATGACACAGATTCAGAGCAAACGTGTTGCCAGACTAGCAGAGGAATACATGTCAGTAACCAAACTATTCGTACTGCTTATCCATTTGATAACAAGGAAAGTAATGTTGAACTGAAAATGACAGAAGATAATGTTTGTGTGGCAGAGTTCAGAGTGGTTCCTTCTGATGATGTCATTGAGGACGTCTCTATGTCCCATAACAGTAACTATGCTAATAGAGTTTGTCCATCGGATATAATTGATAACTCTCAAAACGATTCCCTTCTACTAGGCTCCGCTGATAATCAGTCAATGGAAGGGGCAACTGCAGTAACGATTGCAGATGCTACACCTGCACAAAACGGAGAACACTACACCTCTTTCTTCGACATTACAGATGGAGGTAGCCGACATAAAAGTGGCCGATGGTCGGCCAACTCTAGTGACATATCGGGTGTAACTTCCAAGACTTATTCTGTACGTAGTAGTGGACATGACGTGTGTAGGTTCTGTTATGAAGGCGATCAGACTGCTGGTAACCGCATGGTTCGCCCATGTCATTGTTCTGGATCCGCCGCATATGTTCATTCACGATGTCTGAAGAAGTGGATTCACTTTTCCCGGAATACGCAGTGTGAAGTATGCCATTCTCATTTTTCATATATTCCATACTCGGAGAGAATAAGAGCATTCCTTGAAGAGTTCAGAAGAAACAAGGTAATGTTTCAAAGATATCCACACATTCACAATATTCTTGTCATAAGTAGAAAATTGACGACGGATGGCTGGGTCATTCTCTCATTTGTACTGCTTGGTAATAAATATTAGTCGTGTTAGACAAATTTCCAGCCTTTTTGACTTTTATATTTCTGTACAGTAACCTGGTCGGTATATATTTTTGGCCCTGGCTAACCGCTTACACACAGTTTATTAGCCCCTACTAAGGGTCTAGACCTGGTCTTAAAAGCTGGTCGAATTTAGCGTAATTCTGGCTTCTTTGTCGTACTTAGTGTATGCAAAACTGTGCACTAACGCAACTACCAAAAGGGATACCGGGAATAAATAAAAACTGATTAGTAAATATAAGTAAAAATAAAGATTGACTCCTTAACATCCAAAACGACGTACAATGTGAAGGCCAGTCTATCCTGCAAAACAAAAAGCACTGAAATACCAAATTACATTTACAGACATACATAGGCCTATATAGACAGAAATTAATTTGCTACACAAGAGAATATCAGTCACGGAGCATTCATTACAATTAACGTACGAACTTTAAATGTACAAAACATGATATATGTACCTTATATATGTAAGTTAAGACCTAAGTAATATCGGGTGTTTTGAACCAAATGAGCATATCCTGCCTGCCCTTTGGGTAGTGCCCGCCATATCATTCTGTATAAGTTAATTCTTAAAGAGACCTTCTACATAGGACAAATTGTATTGAAACAATCAAACAAACGTTTCACTAATCAGAATTGATTGTTCTTTTTACATTATAATTCATAATACGAATATATTTCTTTATATTATGTATCAACTAATACATTTTAATACTTTGTCTATCTCTTACAGCGATGGAGGAACGCCACATTTGCCACCCTAGTCGGCCTTGTTGTCTTGCTGTACCTAGTGATATTCGCTGTATTCCCCGGTGGTATCATAGACATTTAGCATCTTCGCTGATGACGAAAGACTCCTAGTTATCTGTTGAAATCAAGACTGTTCGACCCCCTCTTTGATTACCACACATTTATTTCTTATGTTGTACAAGTACTACTTGGTCATTCATTTACGGCTTAGAAGTGTTCACATACATACTCGCATAGCACTGTCCCTATAATTCACGCCCTTTGGTGGCGAAACGCACCTGTGACGTAATTCAGTGCGTGGGATAGGCAATCCAACTGCATCACATCTGTAGTCGTCGGTCAGCAAAATACATGTGTTTTTTTTTCCAGAAATTTGCAATATGAAAAACAAACGTCTACTCGACCAGATAAAACTATTGATGTGAACGGAATTGCTTTCACGCATCTACGTATTACGAACATCAGGGGGCTATAGAACATTACGTTCCCAGGAAAGGTATTTTGCCAGATGCTCTTGTTTCTTTTCAAAAACGTTTGGCACTCTATTTTGACATACCCCCCGACTGCAATTCTTGTTTCTAACAGTTTCAAATGAGTCATCGTGAATGTAAATACAATTTTTTTTTACTTTCTGAAATGATTTATTAAGATTCATGGATCATTACAATTATCATGCCATATAGCACACATTATGGTATATGCAGTAATCAGAACGCGATATTGTGATGTCGTACATTTCTTTTATAAAAGAACGTTGTAGGAGTGTTATCGAATTTCACTTTTGTACTGATTCAACATGATGAGATATTGAATTATCCATCGTTATATTCATAAACAATTGTTGTCGCAAACATGGCTTGCATTGTTACATCATATATAAACAGAGAAAATCTTTCGAAGAACTGTTGCTAACGGATATTAACCCTAACCACTTCGCGTGCAAGACTACAAGTCAACGAAGAAGTGTGTATTACTACGAAAGGAACGCTGAGTGTAGGAACTACAACTACCTTGGCAGATATTGGCTTGACCCAAAGAAGCGCACATTAGTTCATTGCGGATAGTTCAGCTTTATTCGACCATCAACGATGCTGCCTGGCTGTATACTTCTTCTACAATATCTAAATACTTCCAACAAAACTCTGATGCGTAACAGTGTAAACACGCGATCGACCAATAGTTTCCGCCGTTGGCACGATCACGTGATTACCAGGGGTGGTTTGTAGTTTAAATAATTTAATGGCGTATGTTATCTATTTACATTACATGGTTTCATGGCCACGTGTCATTTACATGTACAGATAGCATCACGTTGGTATCTTTGTCTTCAGACGCATGCAAATTCACACAACCGTGCAATAGACTGTATTCAAATTTGCTACTGTAGCCTGACAACGTCGCGTGAGTTGCGCCCTCCGCGGTGCTCCAAACCAAACACACGCCTGACAGAAGATGTAATTTCACTTCCCCCGACGATTTTTTGTCACTACCAATCAAATTGCAGAAACGTCGGATAATGACACCTATCAAAGAGTAACCATTCATGACCACCAAAATGATTATTCATTGAAATTCATTGCAAGAAGGTGTGAACTTTGAGGATTTGCATTTTTGATCTTGCCGACGAGATATACACTATTCTGTCAGGCGTTTGTGGAGTCTGATGCCGTTCGGCCGGCAAGGGCGCCACTAACGCCTACAGCCAGGCTACCACGAAGGATGACAGTTCTGTCACTGGAATTATTGTGTTTTCAACTTGCTTTATTGGATGTGCAAGCGACACTCGACATTTAGTAAAGATGGCCGAATGACGTTTGGAACACGTGGTCATGAAATCTTAGCATAGTTGAGGGTTGTGGTTGTTCGCAGTAACATTGGCAACACGATTTGTCCGTTTGTATAGCATAACTGATAAGTGTTATTACAGCATGGTTATTAAACATGTTTTTCATTAAAAAATATATGTTTTTATTGACAAACTCGTTCTTACTGGTATTTGCATATATATTATTCAAGCATCATTTTTTGTAAATTGACGCTACCACATGAGAAGAATGACCCCCAACAATTTCAGATGTTGGTTTCCTAATGTTCGTGCGTGTGTCTTGGTTTGAAATTTCTAATTATTTGTACTTGCGCCATTTTTCTATGCGTTGCATACAAAATGTAGAAAAGTTCATATTTTTACAGTTTTACTGGTGAATGTGAAAAAGAGAATTTATTGTATGGTATGCAATTCTGTTTAGAAATTACATTTAAATAAAAGCATCTAGGTCGTCGTAGTTTGATCAACCTTGGTTATACTGGACTCACGAAAAACCTAAAACAAAATCAAAATACATGGTTACTCTGAATGAGTGCGTTTGTTCTTCGAATACAAAAAGATTATCCTAGCGGAATAAATTCCCACTATGTAAGGTTGGTTCTATCATACACCCCACCGAAAAGATAACTGAAACTTGACTAAAATGAGTAACCCCACCAACATTTGTTTACGTTTGTATGTTAACATGAATATCTATTTGAAAATAGGGTGATAGAAAACCTAATTTACAAATAGTAGAACCTGAATGTGTATGTCTCGGAGGTGTAGGATTTAGTCACTTTATAAGTACATTAGTTTCACAAATGTCGATAAACATATACTTTACCTTGTCTGTATTACGGAATTTATATATTTTATTGGGCGAAGCAATAAAAAGCCGCATTTTTTTAAGTTGCGCTTTGGCAAATTTAAACATCTATTCTGTGCAATTTATAGTCCACAGGATGAATGAATCAGGTCTAACATTGGCCTTGAGCATTCTTCATTTATTCATATATTTTCGTAGATATGGATTTAGAAATAGAAGAAACATATATCCAAACTTCATGTTAGACATGTGTTGTTATAAGAAATTGGAAGCTAATAACGATTTGAGTTGTTGTCAACAATGCATGGTTGAAAAAAAAAGATAACAGTTGTGTTGAATATATATCTCGAATTACCTAGCGATCAACGACCACGCAATGACAAAAAAGTAGTTTATGTTGTACAATTGGAATCCGTGCTCTCTGGGAATGGGAACAATTATGTAACGAGCACGTTATCATGTAAAGGTGTGGTATGGATTGCATATAAATAGTAATGGGCTATCTTATTGCATGTAGAAATAAGTTCACAAATCCACTTCATTATATGCAAATAATTTGTACCTTAATTTAATTTCGGGTTATGCATATAGAGAATCGTTTAATTATTACATATAATTTGCTAATATCAATAAATGCATAAACGGCACCCAATATAGTTGATACCACGCCATCTCAGAGAAAAAAAAATGGATTTCAATCTCTGATATATGCAAATAATTTCGAACAATAGTATTATTACGGGCGCCAACATATACTTATAACAATATGGTGAAAGCAATGAAAGTATTTGTGGTATCAGTTATGAATCTATTCAGCATAAGTTCTTGCGTGGTATTGGACATATCACTGTGATCAGAGCTTGAGACGTAAAGTGGTTGACGTCATCAATGTACTAAGATTACGCGTATGTTTCACCAGTGCGGTACGCAACTAACGTTGCCAAATGGTTATCCATATTCCAGATCCTCGTGATTCTGTTTGGAGTATATCCGATATTATCAAGCCAGAGACGCTATCTCTAATTTACGGTAATTCTAACGATCTCGGCGAGCGTCAATCCAGCGACAGTTGCATATGTTGCGATAACGATGTTTGTTTGGTGTATGGAGAAATCCTTTCCGCTCGTAGACTCGACTTGAACCAAATCAGCAATGCTTCTCTTGTAACGGAAATTTTCATCGCATCGTAAAATTACATGCATGGCAGGACCAACTGTACAGATAAAGCTAGCACGGGGAAGGAGGTTCGCTGTATGTTTCTCAAAAGAGTAGATAGTCGCAACTGACGTATTAAGGAATAGGCCAGTAGCATCGCCATCAAAAGTGATTACATAATACGATGACGCTATAAGTACATAAGATATGACAGTTATGATAAGATGAAGTGTTTATCGTGCGATTATATATTAATGGGCATTTGGTAAATTAAAATATTGGATGAAAACTCTTTAAGATTTCACAGTACTCCACATTTAGAACCCATGCTTACAACTGTCTATCTTCTTCATGCTAACTAATGATTATTCCAAAGTGATAATTTGAATAATTTACTCTATAAATAAAAGCAGAGTGCGTGGATGACTTGTAGCGCTAGAATACGATGTACTGTAAAACCATTTAATTTTCTCTGGTACTAAATTTCTCTATTTTGAACATGTTTACTGGATTGTTAAGTTCAGGAGTTTGCCAATTTATATTATTATTTCACATGTTTACGGATGTAATTTATCAATGAAAAGGCGAACTAAAAACCCAGTGAATGAATTAATTAATAACCATCTACTGGTTACCATTCTTTGAATACTGGTATATGGTGGTACACTAAGCCTCAGATATGTTGATTTCAGTTTAGAATACCCTAATGTTTTAGATATACCGTTGATAAATATTTTGCGGTCAGTTAATGACTGTAAAATATTTCGCTTTGAAAAATCGGAAATAATGTGATCACTTACTGCGTGGTTACAAAAATACTAAGAACAAGAACGTAAAGCAACAATAAACAAGCAAACAGATAACTCAAATATCATAAAAGCTGGGCAAATCGGTATTAGAAAGATGTATAATAGAATCATATCATATCATATCATATCATATCATATCATATCATATCATATCATATCATATCATACATCTGCATTGATATATCCACAGATTACATCGGGGATCATAATTTTGTAGTATTGCACATGGTGTATGCATCCTACCTCATCAGGGAATGTATATTCCGTATATAGTACGATTATTATGTGGTTATTACGAGGATACCTCAAAGTATGCACGAAGACAGTACAGCGAAAGTATCGACCGACGCGCAGCGGAGGTCGATGGACGGTGTACTGTCTGAGTGCATACTTGAAGGTATTCTTGCAATAACCTTATTATTATACATCTTTTCCTTCCAAGGATACATCATGGGAATGCCGAAATCCAAAAAGTTTAGAACAGAATACGCGAACTTCTTTGTGGTGGCAGCCATATTTGTTTTTAATATTAGAGGACGCTCATGCGCGTAATCATTCCATATTTGGAATTCACATTTCCTAATATGGTAGAATGAAAATACCGCGTAAAATACCGCAAAATTGCCGGCACGCTGTAACTTATGGTGTATACGGTGAAAGATGTATAATAATACATGATATTCCAAATATTCCGTACTTGTTTGAAAACGAAGGTCATAGTCAGATCGAAAGGATGTATAATGACAAGCTAATGCATTTATACAATACTCGGTTACATCGAGCTCAGCTACCCGTCGGTAATCCTGCTCTGCCGTGTTTAGTCATGCACAATTTCAAAATAATCTATTATTGGTGCGTAATAAAACGATGCAGTCATTTTATTATCAAAATACAGTTTCTATTAATTGAATCACTCAACTTAAAAGTTTTTTTTTGTTATAGATATGTCGAAATAACAATTACGTATGTTAATGAGTCATTTTATTCTGAAAATACAGTTTCCTTTAAATAAAAAAAAACTATCCTCCGGGACAAAGTGTTGTTAATTAATTGCGCCCTCTATCTACATTGTGTTGAATATTTCCGCCATAGCCTTACTTTGTCACTAGCGGGCGATAGAAACGGTGGCGTGTGATTAAATGAAAGGATTGGCGTTCTCATTTTCTGTTGTTGCGTCAATAAAATTATTTTTGAAATAATAGTGCAGTAACATATAGCTTACATAAATGATGCATCGTATAATAATTGCCAGCACACACGTATCATTTCGACGTATGCATGGCAAGTGGCATGTTGCTGTCGCCGTGTAACAGCTGCGACCAGAGTGTCATTGTATAATGAGTGGTAGTTTGCCCTTGCAATCACTATCTGTAATAGCAGTCTACTTTACCACCAATATGTAAAGCAATCTTCTCTTATTCCACTTCAACCGCTTCGTAGAAGGTAGGTAACTTGACCAGTGCAAAAATCGTTAGTGCTAAATGTTGGGGGATTTACTTGGCTCTCGAAATGAAGTTGTTGTGAATAGATTTTCCCTATATAAATATATCATGCTAATATGTCATGTATTAAACACGTACGTGTACCGATTGTTGTCAATATCGCCCTACGTACGATTAAGTATTATTAGTACTATGCGAGACACCGATTTCATCCGCCGCATTCAGGCTCCCTCTCGGCGCGTTTCAAGTCGAATTTCAGTCTACTCACTCGAATAGTTAATTTAATAACGTTATGCAGATATTCTACTATATTCGCTTTTGTTCTACATCGAACATGATGATATATACTTTCACAATCACGCTAGTTTATATTAAACCCACAAAGAAGGTGCATTGAAGTACGTACAATGCATTTGTATCATTTTGAATATGTGACCCAACCCAATATTTAATTATTTATATACAGTCATTGCGATACATGTTCAATTTCCGTTACGAGAGTTCGACACAACCGCGGGTCATTTTTAAGAACATCTAATGCACTATCCAATAAATTGAACATGTTTTTATTTTTTTACAGTGTTAAATTTACCTTGCAGATTGTCGACAGACCAGTGGTGTTTCAGCGATAAATTTAGAAATGGCCTTTTCCCAAAGGGAAGCTTTCATCACGTGTGGTGTCTTAGGGGTTGTTTTGGTTGTACTGAACAGCGAGAAAATAATGTACACTGCAGAGCACGAAGTTACACTTCCTACTAAGCACCAATTAGACAATGATTATGTATTGCGGCCCTTACTGCGTCAATTATGGCAAAATGTTGCTAGTGACGATAAAGAAATACGCGAAAAAAACTTGAAAAAACGAATCGCCATTGAGGGCGACATGTGCGAATGTAAACCCACAGGACTTAATTACATATGGAGTTTAACTGAGCGAAGTGATAAGAAAAAGCAGGAAACTCAATTTATTGAATGGAATAATATTCAAGAAGAGCGGGAAGAACCATTTGTCGTGTGTCCATCGTTGATGCCGATGGACATTCCAGGAAGTGGTCTGACGGTGGAGCCGCTGCAATCAACTTCACTTTCTGGCCTGGCATTTCACCCGTTGTTCTGGAACTACCTTTTCAAGGAAATCGACTTTAAGTTGACATTTGAATCACAGAGTAGGTATGGCAACATTTATCTTGGATCGCATAACCATATAATCGAGGACGGTATACGCTGCATTGGAAACGATAGTCACAGACTGACACTAGAATTTCACAGCGGCTTAGATATTGAACGAGTAAACAATGTGCTAACCAACATACTCTACAAAAGTACAAAATACGTCATCAATGCACGTGATATCATTCGCCTCTCAATTCTAGATTATGAATTCAAAATAAATATACACATAATTCGAAAGCCTTACCCGAGATTGTACAACATCGCCCCCAGCGACCATATCAGCAAGAAAGTGACCGTCGTCTGCAAAACTTTTGAACGATACGAAGCAGCTCGGAAAATGATAACGAGTGTTCGTGAGTTTTATCCGAATATTACCATAATTATTGCAGACGACTCGGAAGTGCCAGAAGCATTAGTGTACCCTAACGTATTCCACTACATAATGCCCTTTGCTACTGGATGGTTCGCTGGAAGGAATCTCGTCCTGAGTCAGGTCCGAACAAAATACTTTGTATGGATTGACGACGATTTTATTTTCACGGAGAATACACGACTGGAGCTAATGCTGGAAAAACTGGAGAACCCAGTTTTGAAAATTGATCTGGTTTCTGGGATGATAGATTCTGATCCAAGGAAAGGTCCCATTGCCAAGACTTACAATAACATACACATAAGATCGTTGTCCAATGAAGGTTACTGTCTGCAACGTAAATCCGGCGCATACCCCTTGGCGGGGGCACCGGGATGTAGACTCGCTGACGAAGTCATCAATTTCTTCATGGCGAAAACTTTATCCGCGAGAAGCATAGGTTTCGATCCTCATCTCGCGAGATTTGGACACCATGAATTCTTTTGGGATGGCCTCGGAAAGTTGCGCGTGGCTTCCTGCGATGATGTCACTGTGTTTCACGAGAGGGCGGCATACACAAAACATGGACGTTACCGATACCAATATTTCGACGTCAAAGCGTTTCAGGATTGGATGCTTTACTCTGTTTATAAGAATAATGTGAAGTGCTTTAACTGGGCTGAGTATTTGCCCGATAAATTGAAAGAAGAGATTGGTTCGAAAGATTGACGAACTCCAGGCAGTTTAGAATTCAATTATTATCTGAAAAAAGTAATTTGTCTATTTTCAACCAAATCTGGTATAATTAAACACAGTCAGTCCGATTTTGACAATAATGACTATCTAGCATCAATAGCTGTATACATCATGCACTGAGAAGAATAGATATATGTAGAGTGTTATATTTAGTGTTTCAACTATGCTTACTAGCATAATATTTACTGTAGTCCAGATGATATTACGTCACCTTCTTAACTGTAAAACGATTGCACAAGAGGTGTCAAGATGGATGCGTTCTAGAAATACATTGCGAATTCTAAAAAAAAAAAAAAAAATACAAAAAACTACGAACAGCGGAGATAACAATGTAACAGCCGAACGATCATATTTGAAAATGTCAGGCAGTGAAAAATCTAAATCTAAAAGAAAACAAAGTTTGTTAGAAGGGTTTTACATTACTCGGTACAATAATAAAGGTAGCAGGTTATCACAATATTATATTTGAGGAGGTAATTAATTTTTGTCGTGTGTTACCGTATCCGATACTTTTCATATCACTGTTACACGAGCTTTGCTGTTGTTATAAAAATAGTTTTGTGATCACTATATTCCGCTACTGTTACGAGTATTACTACTAGAACTAATCACATATATTACCGTAATATGTAACTATTATTTGTTAAATCATATCATGACATATGATCTTTTATACGCAGAATCGACACGTTCATAAACATCACGCTTTTAAATGAGCTAGTACCTGATAAAGATGTCTATTAAATTACAATATGTGCGATTTATTTAGAAAGCTAGATATGGCAGCTTATAAAAAAAAATACGGTGCCCTGAAAAAGCCAAATTTTTGATTAAAACATTATTATTGCTCGAAATCACCAAGACAGGATATTTTTTGCACAAATAGCAGTGTTGTGTATGTTTTACATTCATTTACATTGTCCCAGTTACTGCGGGGGAGTCGTCACCTGCGCATGTGTCAGATGGCCATAGCGTGTCATTGTTTACAAACAAGCGTCTACCCATGAGACTTAACGTTTTTAGCGTGTGTTGTTATTGTCGCTTGGGACTCAATTCCCGCGCAATTTGACAAGGGCTTTTGGAGTGACTTCAAATCCAGTTTCTTGTAATTTTCTCATAAACTGAAATACCCTCTCTTATTTTTATACTAATCTAACACATATTGATTTAATGTTTTTAATAACTGGACAAAAGTAATGTAAACTAAACTGTGTAGACACATACCTCTTGTAGATGAATACCTATTTATTTTGCAATAAAGAAAAGTTGTCTTCACCGGTTTTTGATTGAATGTCCAGGCAGTATAACATTTATGCCTACTCTTCGAAAAAAATTGTAACTCTTCATTTTTGTCAGTATATATTTATACTATCTTCTGTTATTCAAAGCTGTTGTGTACTCTATAGCAAAGATGACGACGTGTTCGATAATAATAAATAAATAAATTTAGATGTATTCTCATCTGTCTCACGAATAGGGTATCATTGTATATCAGTGTATATCACCTGTAGATACATTGCTGTGATTGCATAGTATATAGCTTTACATTAGTCGTTCTAATGCATTTGGTAAGTCTGTGGCTTTCACTGATATAACGTGAACCCTGAACTTGACTGATGTAATCAGCGTATTCCTAATAGCCCAATTATATGACCTGAATAATAATGATATAATTTTTCTTACCGATATGTATAACATTTGTTTTCAACCCAGCCATTTTTCTAAACTATAGAATGTTGCGTGCCGATAGTTTTAAATTTTTTGTTATAAGTTTTTAAATTATAGTTTTGTAAGATTGGAATAATTGATTTGTTTAGATCGCACTCGCTAAAACTATTTGTCAAAAAATATATTAGGCATAGCATTGTTTGTATGAATACATTTGTACAGGGACAAGGGAAATCCGTCATATGGGCATTATCAATATACTTGTTTTGGACTCGAATTAACAATATGCTTACGTGGTACATAGCTACAATTGATTATAAGGGTTTTTACTTTAGTTGCATATTCAACCTCAGATTGAACAAAAAATACTTGGCAAATAGGATTGTCATTCATATACATTCAAGCAACAATAGGAATGTGTTGGAGTTAAATATATTTATATTTCACCAAAAATGAAACAGATGTGACAAAGCAAAAATACAGGTATATTGCGATTATTGAAGAGCAAAGTGTGATAAAAGATATTCTGATTTACATATGTTATTGTGTCTTTGCCTCAGATCTCTCTGGTACCAATACATTATATAAAGAAAAAAACCCACATACTATACATTACGCAGGAAAAAAACACTGACAATATTTTATCTCATGCATCATGTCTGTTCCACGTGATATGTTACCACCATCCGACGTAAAGTGGGCTAATAATAATTTGATTGGTCAATACATTTGTGGTGTTATCTTCAAATATTGTTCAGGCACCTTGGTGAATAACTAGTATATAATTAATATTCACCAAGGTATATTTTTTTTTGTTAAATTGCGATTAATTTTTCCGAATATCGAAATTTTCACAAAATGTGTAAAACTCAGCTGAAAGAATGAGACCGTAAATAAGTTAGCAGTGTGTAGCTAAAGCTTTCCCCATAACAAGCAACATAAAATTCGCGGTACCTATAATTTTTCGGTGAAGTGTATGCAAATGAATAAAGAACGCGCTAAGAACCGTTGACCAGTTACATGAAATAACCACTTCGATATAAACTCGTACTGCTATTCTCATATGCTCCGAATTTTAATAATTACTTCACCCGTTCAATGAAATCTATTCAATAAGTAAATCAAACGTCACACGGTCACTCATTGGAGACCCTCTATACCATGGTAATCCATGGAACTTCCATTCATTTACAGTTATTTCCACTTAATTTATGATAATTTCATTTAAAACTACAATTCCTAACATAGAAGGGGATATTTTCCACATGCTTACTGAAAACAAATGATGTTACATTTGAATCTGGGAGCATACAGACTCATTCGCATTAGACTAGTTGAAATGTCACCTCCAATTTTGAAAAACTGTTTAATTTTAAAAGTAAATCCAAATTAAATCATTAGCTAGGCGTCTCATTTTATTTATAGCTGCGTTAGGGAGACAAGTCATGTTATTATGACTGTTTATTAGTGAATTCAGTAACGTAATTCCCCATTTAGGGTTATCCGTGAAAATGGCCTGCCTAAGGTGCCGTTGTTTTGTAATCTGAATTCTTTATTGCGCCGTCTTTGCTTTGAAACTAGCTCTTGTGTAAAGGTCAGTTCCGGTTTCGTCATGCCAATGCATTCAACGTCATTTCGAGCCGACGGTTTCAATTTATAACTGTTTATATACACGCCATCCAAGTGCCAAATTCCTTTGCCGTTAACTGTGACGTCATCGATACATCTCTCTATGTAGATCTGTATTTCTCTCTGTAAATCATGCTTCTCCTTTTCCATCCTCTTGATTCCGAACTTGTAAACCTTTTGCCAGAATGTTTTATTGAAGTACCGGTACAGTTGGTAGTCTCCGACGTTCCACTTTTTTATCTGTTGCTCCATCCAGGGGGTCACTGCTCTGGTAGAACTTCGATGGCGTACGTTGACGCTGAAGTAAGCGATGTCTCGGATGCTCCAACACATCGCATGCCGTAACAAAATCAACGACTCGTCGAAATATTCTGATATGAAAACGAAATCAAATATCTTATCAACGGTTCTGATAATATCTCGTATTTTATCGGGCGTATTCCAATCATCTTCGCTAAATCCCAGGTCGTACATGTAGTTGTTTTTAGTGAAGTAATTGCGAGGGTACGAATGAGGAGATCGCAGAAAGGTGCTCAGTGGGTCTGTCAGGCTGCGGACGCGAACAACATCGCCTAGTCTGTAGTAATTGAAGAGGGATTCGAACTGCATGATTGGATTCCGCAAAATCGTTATGTAAATTGTATCCCTTGGCATCAAACTGTAAATTTCTGAAATTGAATTTTGAAAAGAACGACATGATATTATGATTTCGCCGTGTAGTATACCTTTAAACTATGTATATATAATCGTACATTTTATTACTTTATTACTTTTATTTCGCCGCCCAAAAAGAGCTACCGGGAACACAATAG